CACGATGCTTTAATGATGTTCAATTTGTAACAATGAAAATATATCCCGCATATCAGATATTTACGTTACGATTCATAACAGCAGCAAAATTACAGTTATGAAGTAGCAATGAAAATAATTTTATGGTTGGGGGTCACCACAACATGAGGAACTGTATTAAAGGGTCACGGCATTAGGAAGGTTGAGAACCACTGGTGTAGAGGCCAGTGGCGTAGGCAGAGCCAATGAAAAGGCGGGATTTAGAAACTGCTCCAAATATTGAGCTAGAGTTCAATTTGTGTATGAATGCCTGGTCATTGTAGAACAGTGGTTGTCAGTCCTAGGAGGGCATCAGAATTGCCAAGGGCAACAAAATATAGATGCCCCACCCAGAAATATCTGGCTTATTGGTCCTGGGGTGGCACCCTAGAGTCTGTATTAGGCAAAAAATTCCCACATGTATCCTTTAAGAACCTTTGCAGAGTCAGATGCCAGACATCCCTGGGTTCCTGGGCTGGGGTTCCAAGTATCAAAGGGAAGATGGGTGGGCCTGCTGTTGCCTCAATTCTGTTTATATAGAGGTGACTGGTTTTTGTTGCTCTGCACAGCTCTTCACTGTCTGCTTGGGCCTGGCCTCCGGGGGGTGACCCCCAAGCCCACCAGCCCAGATGGGTCTCAAGCTACCTCCTCGACTCTGCTGGTCTCTGTGCCAAGCTTTGACAGGTGAGATACCGCCATCCCCTCACTCGTCTCCTCTCCTGGCCCCCCTCTCCCTCTTACCTGGGACAGAACTTAATGACCGCCATTACATCATCTAGGTCAGACCCCCATGGCCCAGGTCCAGGCACAAGCAGGGGCCCACGGTCCCATGGATGGAAGGATGCCTTCCAGTGGATGTCTGGCCGTGTCTCCCCGAACACCTTGTGGGATGCCGTATCGTGGGTAAGGCTTCCTCAGTCCTGTCCTGTCCCCTCAGTGTGGGTGAGAATGATCCTGCGTGGATGTATAGTCTAGAAACAGGAGCTAGGGCATCATTGTGCCCACACTCACATTTTGAGTAACTCGTGACTTTGGAGCATATTTAGGGATATAGAGCCACACTCCCCATCCCCTGCCCTCCATGTGTTTATTCCTCCTTTATTCAATAAACTTCTATTTAATGCCTCTGAGCCAGGCATTTTTGGTAGGCACTAGGGAAATAGTGGAGAACAAGGTAGATAGGATTTTTGCCTTCATGAGCTTACAATAAATAATGCTAAATAGCTAATTTTTTTTATTAAAGAAAAGTATTATATGTGTCTTATCTTATTTAATCCTTACAAAAGTTTTGCAAGGGAAATATCTCCATTTTATAGATGAGGAAACTTAGGCTGTGAAGCTTTAGGTAACATGCTTAAGGACACACAGCTCTTAAGTAGAGGAGCCATATTTTACTCTGGAGTTCATACTCCTACCTACCATGCTCCATAGCTTGGTTGCTGCACCTAGTATGGCTTGTAAAAGCACCTAGTACAGATCCTGGCCCATAACAGTTGCTGAATAAATATTTGTTGAATTTGATCTATAAAATCAGATGCTCAATCTAGCAGAGCAGAGTCTTTGCCTTACAGGTTGTTCTTATAAGGTATTTTGAATGAAGTTGGCACACACATCATTCTTGTGTCTGTCACATCTCATCCCTATCACTTTAATGCTGTGAACTTTGGCAAATGACTTCACCTCTCTGAGTCTCAGTTGTCTCATCTGTAAATGGGTGTCATCAGCAGAGCTGAGCCTGGAGTGTCTCCCATGACAGGGGTACTTCTGTCTGGGAAGCTGTGGACTAGAGGCATAACACACTTTGGAGAGGGGAGCATTTTCCCTTAAAAAAAAGATTTTATTGATTTTTTTAGTTTTTTGAGAGAGAGGAAGAGAGAGAAACATCGATGTGAGAGAGCAACATCGATTGGTTGCCTCTGGTACACATACAGACGGAACCAAGCCTGCAGCCTGGACATGTGCCCTCCCTTGGAATCAAACTGGCAACCTTTTGGCGCATAGGAGGACGCTCAACCAGCTGAGCCACACCGGTCAGGGCAAGCGGTTTCCCATTTTGCCAAAGATCCAAACCCTAGGGTGATCCCCCAGGGTCTTTTTGGAAACTGGACCTAGATCCCAGGTGTCCTGATGCCATCTCTCAGCCCTGTCACTGCTGCCCGCATGAAAGGGCCTGAGCACAAGCTTTCCTCAGTGCCTGGGACATAACCCTCTTATTGACAATGCCAGCACCTTCTCTTTTTTCTGGCCTCAGCTCACACGTCACCTCAATAGGGAGGGTTTCCCTGATTCCTTACACTCTGTGTAAACCCTGATTTGTTTCCTGTAGCATAATTTGTAGTTCTTTCTCTGTGTATTTGGGTTTTTGCCTTTCTCCATCAATGAATATGATAAACTCCACTGGAGCAGAAACTGTGTCTGTCTTATTTGTCATTGTGCCCAGTTCCTGTTGCAACACTAAGTATTTGTATGTCCCTTTCAGTATATAGGAACGGGAAGGGAAAACCAAGCAGCGCTGGGTAGGAGCTAGCTCAGGTGTTCTGCAGACCTGTTGAAGAAGAGACACTTTGAACAAGCCTGCACCTATGAAGATGTGTGTGGTGGGGTGGCTTGGTCAGGGCGAGGGGAAGGGAAGAGTTGTGCCAGGTTAGAGAAGGAGAGTGAGCCTGGTGGGGAACTTTGTCCTGTCCCTGCATTTGTGGCAAAGCCCCAACTTACCACATTATCTTTTTGCCTGCTTAGACTATTCAGTGACTCGCTCATGCGTGTATTCAGCATGTATATCTTAGCACCCTACTAGGTGCCGGGGATACATTGGTGAGGAAAACAGACATGGTTCCTGCTGCCCTCGTGGTGCTTTAAGACTAACAGGAGAGTCAGACCTTAGTGGAATAATTGTAGAGATGATTGCTTAGGTACCAGTACAATCAAGGTTCCCCAGGGGAAGTTGGGTGCTGTGAGGGTGTGGAGTGGAAGCTGCCCCCACTAGGGGTCAGGAAAAGCTTCTCGAAGTGATGTTTGAGCTGCAGGCTAGGACTGTACGGGCTGACTGGTGACAGCTGTGTCCCCGATGGGCTGTCTTTCCCAGGGCACTCTGGCTGTGCTGGCCCTGCAGCTGGCAAGGCAGATCCACTTCCAGGCATCGCTGCCAGCAGGACCTCGGCGAGCGGAGCACGGCTCTTGGCGCAGTCCCCTGGACTGTTTCCTCTCCTCTCCCCTGTGGCATCCGTGCTCCTGTGAGTTCTCATTCCCGGGGACAGGAGGGCTGGGCTGGGAGTTTCTCTGGGCCAGGAAGCATCTCTGGACACACCTCAGGAAAAGAGCCATCAGCAGCTCCTTGACTTTCCTATCTGAAGTCAGAGGAAGGAGAATGTGAGGAAGTTCCATCCACCCAGGGTGTGGGCCACACCTCCCCTCCAATGCCCTCCCATCACCTTCCATGGATGGAGCCCCACTGGGGTGCAGTAGACTGTAGATCCTGGGTGTGGCTTCCTGTCTAACCCTGAGCCAGTTAGGTCATTCCCTGCTCAATCATTCATTAATAAATGAATCTTTATTGAGAAGTTATTATGTAACAGGGTACAGAGGCAATGAAGCCAATTGGTTAAGGCTCTGGAGTCAGACTGTTGGGGTTCAAGCCCCAGAGCTGCTGTTTACTAGTCTTGGGTCCCTGGACAAGTCATTTTAAACTTCCCTATGCCTCAGTTTCTTCATCTATAAAAAGGGGTAAAAATAGGTTTCTTGGGAGGACTAAATGAATTAATATATGTCAAGGTCATATGTGCCTGACACATTGACACATAGGAAGTGCTCAGTATTAGTTTAAATTCTTGCCCTTATTGTTATGGTACCATCATTATCGGTATTATCATCAAGAAAGTGTTAGGTGCTGGGGCTACAACAATGAATAAATAAAGTAGATGCCTCCTTGCCACTGGAAGATTAAAGCAGAAGAGTGATTTATACTTCAGGCAGGAGGTCAGCGTAAATGTGGGCCCCTCTAAGCCCGTGCAGAGGGAAGCCAGCAAAGGAAATGGAGGAGGAGGTCTGTGAAGGTGGTGTCACAGGAGTTTCCAGGTTCTTCCTTTGGTCCCCAAAACTTCCCCGAGCTCACTGTACTGAGCCCCTCCTGATGTGACTGCTGTCGCCGGCTCTTCCAGCGTTGCGGAGGCACATTCTCCCCAGCCCTGACAGCCCAGCTCCCAGACACACTGGCCTCAGGGAACCCGGGCTGGGCCAGGAAGAACCCTCCGCTCAGCCCAAGAGCCCCTCCTCACATGGATCCTTGAGAGCAGCTGATCCTCAGGAGCCCCCTGAGGAAGGTATGTCCCTTCCTCCTAGAACCAGCAGAAGGCAGGGCGGGGTGGGGAGTTGGACTGATGAACATCTCTTGTTGTATATGCCAGGGAAGGGACTTGTCATTCCTGTGAGGCCCCAGGCTTCCTGAGGTAGTTTACGGTTATTGTGGTCCCTGGCAGTGGTGCTGGCTGGAGGGGCTGGGAGACTGGGAAAGTGGGAGAAAAGGAGAAATTACTTTCTCCTTTGCCCTGGCTGGTTGTCGGCCTTTTCCCTTGCAGATCCCAGTGATGTCAGCTTCCTGCATGCCAGCAGTAGCTTCAGCTCCCAGGCAAAACCAGCCCAGCCTCAGCCCACTGGTGAAAAGCAGGTATTGTCCAGATTTGGCCACCTGGATCTTTCTGGGCAGGTGGCAATCCCAGTGAACTCCCCCATGGTGAGTCTTTGTATTTCTTCCCAGGAACAAGATAAATCAAAAACGCTTTCCCTCGAGGAGGCTGTGACTTCCATTCAGCAACTCTTCCAGCTCAGTGTTTCCATCGCTTTCAACTTCCTAGGTAACTAGATGGACCCTCCCTCAAGGTAGGCAGATGGGAAAACGGAAAGGGTATGAAGAAGGTCAAATAGAGTCACGGTAGGGATTGGTTTAAATCAGTTTCTTTTCTCCCAGGTAGGTAAACAAATCTAGTATGGGGGCACTGTGGTGTCACGGACCCATTCTAGTTCAAACATGTTTGCCATTCTTCAAACTGGCTCCTATTTTGAGGTCCTAGTTGGCTATTCTAAATCCTGCCATATTCTAGCCAGCTGGAGGGGGGAAGGTGGGAAAGCAAAAGGGCCACTCCTTCCCGTTAAGGACATGACTGAGAAGTTGCACAAATCATTGCCCAGAATGTAGGCTTACAGCCACCCTCATCACAGAGGAGAATGGGAAATGTAGTCTCTAGCTGAATAACCGTATGCCTACTATTAAGAAGGAGGAAATAAATCTTGGAGAACACCTTGCATGCTCTGCCACATATAGGCAAGAACAGGCTCCTGAGGTTTGAAGCGGGCCCTCAAGTGCATGAGTAAGAACTTCTTACCCTCATCTGGAGACTGCAGATGCCTCTCCACAATGTGTCCTGGTTTCCATAGTGACTTGTCTTAAGTTTCAGGCCTTCTAATGTGGAGACCCAGACTCCCAAGCAGCATCTATTGGAGTCTAGTAGGCAGGTGAGTGAGGCTGGGATTCATTCAGAACAAATTTATGGAGCATTCACCTTTTCCTCAGCTGTATTTTAGGTGTTGGGGATCTAGTGTTTGACAATCAAAGCCTTTACTCTCGTGGAACTAAAATGTGAGTTGAAGGAGAGAAAAAACAAAACATTGGCAAACAGATAAAGAGAATTCAGATGGTGATAAATGTTATGGCCAAAATTAAACAGGGGAGTGTGTTCATAATTTGGGCAAGGAACGTTTAATTTGGAAGGCCTCACTGATGGGAAATCCTTGAGCTGAGACCTGATTAACAAAAACAAGCCAGTCTTGTTTCCATCTGGAGAAACAGCTTTTCAAGTAGAAGCAACAGCAAGTGCAAAGGTCCTGAGGCAGGACTGATTTTGCTTTTTGAGGAACAAAAGAAAGATAAGTGTGTCTGGAGCTTAGAGATCATAGGGAGAATGAAGTCAGAGAAGCTGGCAGGGGCCAGATCAAGTGAGCTTTTCTGAGCCATGGTACAGTGTGGATTTGCTAAGACAGGAAGCCATTAGAGCAGTGGTTCTCAACCTTGGCTGCACATTAGAAGCACCTGGGAAGCTTTTCAAAATCCTGATTTCTGGGCCTCATCCTCTGGAAATTCTGTATCTTTGTTATGGGGTGGGGCCACAGCATTAGTAACAAAGAAACAGAATTTCTGGAGGATGAGGCCGAGAAAACAGAATTTTAAAAAGATTCCCAGGTGATTCTAATGTGCAGCCAAGGTGGAGAACCGCTGCATTAGAGGGTTTTACACTGGTGCAGGAAGAAGGACAGTCACATGATCTGATTTACTTTTTTAAAGATCTCTCTGGCCGTTCTGTAGACAGATGTGGATTAAAGGGATGCCAGAGAAGGGAGCAGGAGACTGGGTTGAACTGTTGCTGATGACTAAGCAAAATGTGATGGTGGCTTGGTCTAGGTTAGAGGCAGAGGAGACTGAGAAGGGTAGATGGATCTGGGTATGTGGGTAGAGCCAGTGTGGGGGATGGGGACGGTGGGATCCTTTGCCCTCTGAGCCTTCTCAAGGACAAGAGGACTCTGTGAATCCTGATGGGAGAGTTTTCAGGCAGCAGGGAGGCGACTTCAGTTCACTGCCGGCTGAATGCAACCTGGATTCTGCCTCATTAGCTTTTTGTGATTCTGATAGGCAGACAGTCTCTTCTGAGAATTTTCTTGCCCATTCCTTCATTCATATATTCATTTATTCAGCAAGTGCTAAGCACTGTGACAGAACACAAAAGGAGCATAAGCCATAATCATATTTTGCATTTGTATAGAGCTTTCACCCTATGCAAAGTTATTTCTTTTGCATTCTTTTTCTGCATCTGCCTCCAGGATTTTAGTCTAATTGAGGAGACAGGGCTTATATTCTTGAAACATTTTAGTTTGGAGAAAAAAGCTCGTATATTAAGTAAGTGCCAAAAAAGTGTTTCAAGCCCGAGTGTGGTCTGCAGGTTCTAGAGCAGAAACAGGATGCGAAGGCCAGATGGTGGAGGCAGAAAAAGATATCCCAGGAAGGAGAAACAGCTTGAGCAAAGGCTGTGCCCAGCCCCTCTCCTGTTTTCCTTTTTCTTTGGAGGATAAAAGAACCTGGGCTTTGGACACACCTGAGTTCAGGTCTTTGCTCTCTTATATTCTCTCTCACAGTGTTGTCATAAAGCAACAGTAACAGTGTCAGTGGTGTGAGGTTGTGTTGGTCACAAACAGCCTAAACCCACCCTGGCTAACTTAAAACACAACAGGAGTCTATTGAGACCTGCTGACCTGCCCAGCCTCAGAACGGACAGGCATCAGGGAAGCCCGTGGACCCAGGGGGCAGTACCTATAGTGCCTTCAAAGTGCTGTCCTCAGAATAAACTGCAAAAGCTGTTTCTCTCCTGTCACAGAGAGATCAAAAGTCAGATCTGAGGGAGGTTCTCATTGGTTGGGAAGAGAGGAGACACGTTGCTTGACAGCACTCGGGGGAGGGCTAGTCCCAAAAGGAAATCGGCATCCTGTTGCCAAGAGAAGGATGGTGTAGAGGAGGGCAGAGCCCACCGATGTGTATGGCACACCAGTGAAATATTCGGAGAATGGAAATACATGCAAATGTCCAGCACCAAAAAGAAAGTAAGAAGCTTGTGGGTACCTGGCTGCGGATGCGGGGAAGCTCCCAGGGGAAGCTGTGAGTGTTTACACCCTGTGCTTTCTTACAGGGACAGAGAACGTGAGGAATGGAAACCACGAGGCTGCCTTTTCCTACTTCCAGAAAGCAGCAGAGCGTGGCTACAGCAAAGCACAGTACAACGAGGGCTTGTGTCATGAGTATGGCAGAGGCACCTCCAGGGACCTTGGCAAGGTACCAACCTCCTCTCCTGTCCCCAGACCCATCCCCTGTGCCACAAGGCCCAGAGTGTCCTCCGGAAATGGGCAGTGGGCAGGGTGTGGGGAAGTCCAGTCTCTCTCCCACCTGTGCGGGGAAACGTTTTTTTTTTACACCCACCCACCCCCTTTTTTTTTTTGCGGGAAACATTTTTACAAAGCTCTAACTTCTAGGAATTTAGATTCCAAACTCAGATAGGTCGGGCCCTGGTCTGTCTTCTTTGCAGCTATACCCTCAGGACCTAGAGTATTACTATAGTAAGTGGGTTAATTAATTCTAAAACAGCGAGATAGCCCTGACCAGTTTGGCTCAGTGGATAGAGGGTCGGCCTACGGACTGAAGGGTCCCGGGTTTGATTCTGGTCAAGGGCATGTACCTTGGTTGAGGGCACATCCCCAGTGGGAGGTGTGCAGGAGGCAGCTGATCGATGTTTCTCTCTTGTCGTTTCTAAATCTCTATCCCTCTCCCTTCCTCTCTGTAAAAAATCAATAAAATATATTTTTTAAAAAACAAATACAGAAACATGTTATATACAATAATGTATTTCTTAAAATTGTATATGATAGCAAAGAAAAGGGAAACAACCTGAAGTCTCCTCAGTAGAGAATTGGTTAATAACATCTCCGTGGGCCTTAAAAATAATGTGCTAGATCTATATGTATTGTCTGGGCAAGACATTCATGGTGTATTGTTATATGAAAAAATAGGTCACAAAATAGTGAATGTAGTTCTCTCTCTCCCTCTAGACCAGGGGTGGGCAAACTTTTTGACTCGAGGGCCACAATGGGTTCTTAAACTGGACTCAGCGGAAGGAGCTGCGGCCATGTTTCCCGACGTTGCCATGTGAACACTGCTGCTGGTGAAGGAGCGGATGGGAGAGCAAGAGAACCCTCCGCTCTTTCGTTTGCCCACGGCTGCTCTAGACACATATTTATGTGTGTAAATATATATAGTATATATGTGTACATATGGAAGCATATATATGAAGAAATTTGCAAGGCTGTACACTGAGATGTTAACAGAATGATCTTTAGAAGGCAGGATTTCTTGGGATTGTATGTTTCTATTTTTTCGTTGTATCTGTATTTAAATTTTTCTTTGGCTTATCTGCATTTTCTGACTAATCCGTAATCATGATGTACTATTTAATTAAAATAACATTTAAAACTTTCAATCAAAGAAAAAGCCGCTTGCAGTGACGGTGTTTCTCCCTTTGCCTCAGGCGGTCCTTTGTTACCAGCTGGCTGCCAGCCAGGGCCACAGCCTGGCTCAGTACCGCTACGCCAGGTGCCTGCTACAAGGCCCAACCCCCTCGGGGGACCCTGAGCGGCAGAGGGCAGTGCTCATGCTGAAGCAGGCTGCAGACTCAGGCTTGAGAGAGGTGCGTGCCATGGGTGGGGCCTCTCCCGGGCACCTGGGGTGGGTGGGGCCTGGCAGCGACCAATATATGTTTTTCCTTCCTTCTTGACCACAGGCCCAAGCTTTCCTCGGGGTGCTTTTCACCAAGGAGCCATACTCGGACGAGCAGAGAGCTGTGCAGTATCTTTGGCTTGCTGCCAACAATGGGGTATGAGATCTCCATTCTCCAGGCACGTTGGGGACCCGCTCTGATAAAGGAGAGGACTTTGGAGCTGGGACTGAGTTCTGTTTTGTTTAGGGGACTTTCTGATCGGAGAATTGGGCCGGCTTCAAGCTCTTGCTGATTTGCATGTGACCTGCGCACGTCCAGTGGTGTGCTGAGCTGGCGCAGACCAGCTGTGAGAGCTGTTATATGTAAAATCAACGATGGCCAGAGTATTTGCACCATGGAAATTGCTGAATGCTACAGAACAGGGCTTGTCCCCCCGCAGAGCCAGGTGTTACACATTAACCAGTGCACTACTGAGCTGGTCACTTATTAATCCAAACCCGTTGCCTCATCTCTAAAATTGGGACAGTAATGCCTGCCTATCTCCTAGTTCACAGGGTTGTCATGAGGATCAAACATGAGGATCTGACTAAGATAACAGGTGTGAAAGCATGTTGTAAATTGTACAGACAGAAGTTGCATCGTTACACGTGTTGTAATCCAGGGGATCCGGAAGACACGTGAAGTGAAGACCTCGAGCTGTTGCTGGGGGGTGTCTGGTGTCTGTGAACCAGGGGCATTGGCATCCAGGCAGCATGGCCTAGCATTTGTTTCAGGGATGAAAGCAAGCAGTGTGTATCTGTGTGTCTGTCTGTTTCCTCTGTTAGGACTCACAGAGCAGGTACCACTTGGGAATTTGCTATGAGAAGGGCCTTGGTGTGCAGAGGAGCCTGGGAGAGGCTGTGCGATGTTACCAGCAGTCAGCGGCTCTGGGGAATGAGCCTGCCCGGGAGAGGCTGCGGACCCTCTTGTCCATGGAGGCAGCAGGTGCAGGTGCAGGTGCCGGTCAAAGCCCACAGGGCCCCTCCCCGTCAGAGAAGGGGGTGGCAATAGCTCTTGGTCTCCTTGCTATTTCCTGCCCAGTGGTTGGGTAAGAGCACAGCTTTTGGAGTCAGACAAACCTGTTTTGACCCCTGTGCTGTCACTGACCTTGGGCTCCATGTCCTCGAGCCTCGGTTTCTTCACCTTTGACTTTGAGGTACTAGTAGTACTTGACTCACCCAGTAGTTGTAAGGGTTAAATAAGGTGACTGTAAAGGGCTCAGCAAGGCAGGCACTCGGTAGGTATTAAATAAATGGCAGCTGCCCTGGTGATTTTCCAGGAGACACAACGTCTTGAGGCTGCCTCCGCACCCTGCGTTACGCTGCGAGGGCTCCGAGAGCCCTGCTCGCCCATGAGTCACTCGGGCTGGGTGGGTTAACAGTGCCAGGGGGAACCAAGTCTTTCAGAATTCCTTGCTCCAAAATAGGAGTCCAAGAATACAGCATGAGTAAGAGTTACTCTCACCTCTCCTCGCAGCCTCGGGGCCCAAGGACCTGGCAGTCACAGGGTTGAAGTCCTTCTCCAGCCCCTCCCTCTGCAGCCTGAACACCCTGCTGGCAGGAGCCTCGTGCCTCCCACATGCCTGGAGCACGGGGAACCTTGGCCTCCTCTGTAGAAGTGGCCATCTCAGAGCCAGTCCCAAGGCCCCCAATGTGGCTGTCCCCCCACACTCCTTGGAAAGGAGTCTCGTCAGACTGGGTTTTGGCTAAGGTGAGATCAGTCACTGGTACCTCTCACTGGTGCAGGGGGGAGGGCAGGGAAGAAGTTGGATGGCAATAAAGATAGGGGTCAGTATGCCTTTCCAGGGTGGAAATCAAGTGGGAGCCAAGTTCTCAAGCAATTTCAAGTGCATGGCTAATAAATGACGTTGACCTTTCCCCTCGGTTGGTAGCCTCACAGATGAGCAGTGGCTAAATCACAGGCATTTCTGGTCTGTGCACAAAAAGGATTCATTCAGTGACGTGTGAGAAACGGTACTGAACACTCCAGAGACCCAGGTCCCCACCTCGGCCTTTGTCTTGGAGCCAATCAGTTACCTTCTCCCTCCCCATAGTTTCCTCAAGCTTAGGCTATATCTTTTTTTTTCTTCAATTAATCCTCACCAGAGGAGTGAGGATATTTTTTCCATTGATTTTTAGAGAGAGTGGAAGGGAGTGGGGAGAAAGAGAGAGACATTGATGTCACAAAGACACAGCCATTGGTTGCCGCGCACGCGCACACGCAAGCAAGTGCCGCCTGTGCTCTAATCACCGAGCCACGCCGGCCAGGCCAAGACTACATCATATTTTTGCCAGCATCTGATATGTGTGCCTCTGGTGGCTCACAAGAGGATTTTAGCTGGTATTCAAACTGATAGTTTTTATTTTAGTGTATATTTAATATATCATGTAACAATGTGACTAGCACATTATAGTTTCACAGACATTAAGAACAGTGAATCCAGTTCAAGGAAAGTGTTGTGACATTGCGTAGAAGGGAACACAGATCCAGAGAGGTGGCAAAAGTCCTGAGGTGGTTCCATGAGCAGCTAAAACGCGGGGAACACTGAATCAGTTCGCTTTTGTTCCTCTCCAGCGGATTCATGAGTGTCTGGTTGGGAAGTAAGGAGTTTTCTTGCCTAAATCCCTGATGTATCTGTTTGACTTTTTTCAGACCTTCTCACTTCAGCCCTAAAGATGGAGCCTGTGGGCTCTCAGAGAGATACCACAACTTGAGTCCCAAAGAAGAGGCCAGTCATCCACCCACCTTCCCAAAGAACCTTAAGTACCTGCCCCAGCACCGTAAGGAGGAGGAGAGTGTGTGGAGGCCCAGGTTCTGGCCATGTCACTGTGCGTGGCCACGTCACCTTGAAGCAGTGAGTAGCTTGACTCACCGCCTTGTCCCTCTGCTGTAGACCAAGAGCAATGGTGTCTGCCCTGCGACTCTGCAGGGCTGGTGTGGGCATTGCACTGTGGACAGGACCTGAGGAGGCATACGTGTTTACGTGGCTTTATGAGTCACCAGGCCTCCTGACTGCTAGTCCAGGGCTCTCTGTGCTGTTCACACTGTAATTTTATGTGGAAGTGTTTTTATCATCCTGTGGATGTGCGGGAATGAATGGAGATCGAGGACCTGGACTCTTGGAGCAGGAGAGTGTGGATTTTGAGTGGTCTTTGCTTGTGAAGGGTGTGCCAGAAATGCATGGGGTTTAATAAAGCTGATATGGGATTATCTCATCACTCTGCCCTTGAGTGTATTGGGGAGAGCCAGGGAGACGGGAACGGGGAACTGACAGCCTGGGCTCCATTCTCGTCTCTAAACTTTCCATTAACCAATTTAAAGGGTCTTAAAAGCTTCTCCAAGAGAGAGACTTAGAAAAAATGATTTCTGAGTCAACGCTAATGACTTCAATTACTGAATTTGTGAATAGCTGTGCCCTGGTTTCTGGATGTGAGCCCAAGTTCAATAGCATAGATGTGGTTGAGAGTCGGGTGTGGGAGGGACTGACGACCAAAACCCTTAGTGACTGTTCAGATGGGAAAGACCACCAGCTCGGCCAGTTCAAAGGTGGGAAGAGTTAAGGGGAGTGTCCACATTTCCCTCCCTGCTGCTCCCCCCTTCCCCAACCTCCAGTGGTCCTGTCACTTTCCTGTCATTGCTGGAGCCCTAAGCTTCCTCTAGCCCCACTGCCTCCCCTGCCCCTGCTGCCTTTCCAGGACGGCCCTACACACTGGCCTCGCCCTGCCCTCCCATGGGGCAGGGGCCTTGTCTTCCTTTTATTCCAGTATCCTCAGCACTTAGCACGGGGCCGTGCAGGTAGGGGCTCCATGCACGCATTGGTTAAAGCTCGGGGTTTTAAGCTGTGCCGTGCAGTAATCTCTCTGCAAAAAAAAAAAAGGTTTCTGTGGTCAAATAAGTTTGGGAAGCGCTGCACTAGACGTCCCCTTTTTATAGATTCACAAAGCACATCAGCATATTCAGGGTTCCAAGAAGTCCTGCAGTACAGAGCGTGGTTAACCCGATGCTTCCCTCGCGGAGCTGAGCACAGAGCGGCACCCTGCAGATCGCCATGAGCCTCCGAGGGGCACCTCTGTGGAAAAGTCACTGCTCGGGGAGCCAGCCTCTTCCCTTCCTGTTAGCATTTCTGGTTCTCTGATTACTGCTGCCTCCTGACCATGCCTGGGCCAAGGGGCAGTTCAGACTGTCCAGGGACACTGGGTGTCGTGTGGTGATGGCCAGATGTGGCCCTCCTTCCCCCTCAGTCGTTACAAATTAAGTGCTGGTTCCATTTGAGGTGCCAAGCGTGGAGGTGGGATATTTTTAAGCTCTCGCTGTGGAGAGGGAAGGATGGGAAAGTCGTGAGAGAGATGTTTTCAAGGGACCAGAAATCCTTGGCTGTTCAGTCACTGCGGTCTCCACACAGCCCCAGGGGATGGTCTTGTCCACAGACCCAGAACTGTGTGCTTTTGCCATTAAAATTCCTTTACTAATGACTCATTGTCAGGGCCCTGAGAGGAAATGAGGGGGGAGGACAGGGAGGTGGCCCCTGCCAGCAGGGCCAGCCTGGGTCAGCATGCTGGGTGACCGGAGGCCCAGGGCCTGGTGCCCTCAGCAATGAGACCTTCGTGGGAGGCTCTGCTGCCTCAATTTCCTTATCCGGAGGTACTATGTTCAGAGAGCCCTGATGCTGCAGTGGGAATAAGGCTGTTTGGCTCATTATGTCTTTGTGTTAATACAATGCTCATTAAACATTTATCAGTGAATGAGTAATTCTATGCATTGCCCCTTCTCCACCCAACATCAAGCCTACCCCACACCTAGTAGGTGCTTAAAATATTTGTTGAAGGGATTGATTCTATATAACACCCCCTCCAGTACTGATTTTGATGCATAGTAATTCCTCAACAGATACAAAATGTTTGTTGACTGAGTGTTTCTGATCATGCCTCCCTCCTTGCCTTACCCACTACCGTGTACCCAATACTTAGTAGGGCTGAAAAATGCCGACCTATTTTCTAGGAACACTTTCCGTGCCCAGCTGAGCCTCTCCACTCCTGTCTTCTCCTTTTTGAGATGTGGTTCTCCCCAGCCTCCCAAGGGTGGTGGTTACCATCTCACTCTTGTTTCAGCCAGAAGAGGTAGGGTCAGTGAGCTACCAAGCTGAAGTCAGGTGACAGGCAGGGAAGGGAGGCCACCCGTCAATCTCTGAGCTGCCCCAGGCTCAGAGTGAGCACTGCATTCCACTCCTGGTGCTGGAGATCAGCTGACTGTTGATAAAAAACTGCACTTTCCAAATTAAGACGACTTTTAACTGAGTGCTCGCTGGCTCGCCTGCTCCCTCAGTCTCCCAGGGGACAGAGCCCATCTTGGGAAACTGTTCTGAGCATGTCCAGTCTCAGCTTTGACATCTCAGCTGGCGTCCACAAGTTTCTGTGACCTTCCTGTTCAGCCCACTCAGTTCTGTCCCCACATATACTGTCTGGTATTAGCGTGCTAGGAGGGCGTCACATGGTGCAGGCGAGAGTACAACCCTCAGTGCCTACACCCCTGCCCTGAGCAAAGGCTGGTGCCTCAGAATAGCTCTACTCAGGAGTTCTCCAGGCTTTGCAGGAGAGGCAAACTGAGGACCAACTAGAGGACTGCCGTGGTCCTTAACCTTACTTAGGTCCCAGGCCCTCTGAGAATCTGATGAAAGCACTGACTCCTTCCCGTAGCAAAATGCACTTCCCAATCTTATGAGCAATTCAGCAGGTTCATAGATCCTAAAGCCCACCCACGGGTCCCAGGTTAAGAACCCTTGATATATTAGAACGAACTTCATCCTAAATCCCAGCCCTGCCACAAACCGGCCACGTGACTTTGGGCCAGTCAGCCTTTTCTGTCCTGCCATTTCCTTGCTATAAAATGTTCAGACTCCTGATAACCAAAATTACCCTTGTCTGTGGAGGTTTAGATCGTGACTTAGAGCAGTGCCGCATAACCTTTTATAGGTCACCTGTTCCTTTGAGAATCTGATGAGAACTTTGTTTGTCTTCTACTTAGGAAAATGCCTATACACAAAGTTTTGCCTAGAATTTAGGGAAGTGGGGGTGAGGTCCAAGGTCTACAGATTTAGGACTTTTGAACAGGAAGGAGGCAGTGATCCAGTATATCCAATGCTCTAGTTGCCAACCATGCTTCAAGGTTCCTCAGGTCACCGCTCCCCCACCTCTTCTGTCCACCCTCCCAACATCAGCTCTGTACTGAGGAGCCACTGGTAAATGGGAGGCCAGCCTGTCTGTGCTGTGGTTTTCAGGCTTGCTTTTACATATGGAACCTTTTTTTTGGTCCTAGTAGAGCTTTATCTGGAGCTCCAATATAGATAAAAGGGAGCTCTGAAGCATTTTTATTTCTTTCATTCATTCATTCAGTGGGTATTCATCATATGTTGCTTTGTGCCGGGCACCTGGCTGGTCAGACTGTAAGGAGATTTTGTAAGGAGATCACTCTGTCTTGGCCGAGGTGATCAGAGACCCTGCTCCTGAAACACTTAGCTTTTGGGGCTCAGTTTCCTCATCTGTAAAATAGGACAATGGAATACTGATGCCACACTGTATTCTCAGTATGCTTGGCATCATGAGCCCTAGTTAGGAGGATGAAGGACAATGAACGTGAGCCCTGAGCTCCAAAGGAGGAAAAGGAGGAATTTTTGCCTTCAGTGTCCAGGAAATCCCCACGCTATGGAGAAGCTAGCTGAATGATAGCTTGGAAATTTCCAAGAAAATGATAAGGCTGAGCCTTGGGAAGATATTTGCTGTTTCTTCACTCCCTCCTCCCCTGGAAGGTCTGCTGCTGTCACTGTCGATTTCATGGAGCCGGTTCACACACTCTCCTCAGGCGCCTGAATTCACAGGCCCAAACCTGCTGTGACAAAGATTTCCCTACGAGTGTTGGTTTCTGAGAAGATGATGTCTGTACCTGAAGGGCTGCTCCCTGCGAAAGGACAGGATTCTGCAGAGGCCCAGGCCTGCGTCAGGTCAGATCAATCCCCTTCGCTCTGGGCTTGGTGGTTAGACGTGCAGGCCTACGCGGCTTTGGAAATACGCTTCAGCCATGTTTCTGGAGGGGAGCTCAGGCAAGTCCGCTACCGACAAGAGCTCACTCCTGGGGGCTTTTCCGTTCCTTTCCTTGTCTGGCAGTGTAGTGTCAAGGTCAAGGGCATGGGTTTTGGTGTTGGACAAACGTGGCTCCGAGTACTAGCACTGCCTCTGCTCTCTGCTTGATCTTGGGCAAGACACCCAGCCTCTCCACGGCTCATATCCTTGTCTGTGAGATGGGGATAATAACACCTCCCTCTCAGGGTTGTCGAGAAATTATTAATTAAATTCTATTGTAAGCCTGGTGCCTGGCTCATGTAAATGCTCTATAAATAGTCACGCTTTTCATAGCCCTAATTTTCCAGCTGAGAAGCAGATTATTTGATAATGCAGCACTGGAGGAGTAGGGTCAAGAGTACACATGTCCTTCGTTACGTACCTAACACTGCACCAAACGTGCCCCGTTCCTGTCCAGGCCCAGCCTGACCCGCTTGACAGGGACTGGAGGACGAAGAACTATCACTCTGTTACTCATCCCTCCTGAGGGGTGTAAACAGGCGAACAAGCCACTGCTTTTCCTTTATTAGAAGGTCGGAGAGCTTTGCCTGGCACCCCAGGATGCAGCCCCCCACCCTCCAGGATGCAACAAGGCTATTCTTTCCTGCTCATGACAGACACTCCGTGGCGTCTGTTCTGCCCGAGGACCAGCCCTCTGTGCTCTACCTGTGTTTTGCCAGCAAACACTTATCTCAGCCAGTCATTCTCCATCCTCCAGGAAATTCAGAGGCAGAGCTAGCTCCTAACAAGGGGCTGCTTTGGTCAGCCAGCTGTTAGCCCTTGGGTTCCTGTCCCCTCCGTGGGGCAACATCAGTCACCCTAAAGTTCTCGAGCCACTTCTGCTCAGTGAGTTCAACAATATTAGAAACCAGAACATGTCCGAGGGCCCTCAGGGCCGGGACTCCCTAACATCTCCCGGGGCCCCTGGTTCCTGGATCCAAAGGCCCCTGCTGTTGCTGCTGCTGGTCCTGGTCCTACCCTCAGTCCCCTTCTTTCCACTTGGGTCCCCCTGGACATCCGTGCCTGTGGCCCCACTGGTGGCCAGGTCTAGACTGAGGGTCCTCCCGCAGACCGAGAGCCGCCGCAGCACTTCGGAGGCAGCCTCCACGGGCACACTGGCCCGCGGCTCCAGCAGCATCTCCAACAGCGAGCTCATCTCCGAGAGGAAGGTGCTGGCCAGCCGTGTGCCTGTCGGGCTCAGCTCTGGCCCCGACCCCTTGCCAAACGTCTGGAAGGTCCTCGGCTCCTCTAAGGCCGCAGTGTCCGGGGAGAACACGTTGTCACGGTAGTTGGTGGCAAGGGGCAAAGAGAGCCTGGCCATCCAAGCCGGGTCTGGGGCGCTTAGTCGGTCCAGGGCCAGGCCTGCGGGGGGAGGAGAGGACATAGTGAGGGCTGAGCCCATGGAAGGGCAGAGCGGGTGTGGGTGGGGTGTGGGCAGGGCAAGGGCACTGAACAAAGGAGGGAAGGGAAATGGCAGAGGACAGAAGGGGTAGCCAGAGGGGGACAGGAAGGAAGGGGCCCTGACAGGGAAGCTCACTGGGCAGGAAGGCCGCTGACTGACGTTGCTCATGAGCTGAGAGAGGAGGAGGCAGGAGGAAGGCCTACAATTAGAATTGGCCTGTTTTTAAATGACGTCTGGGTGGGTGACGTGTTTCAGGTCTAGGTGTCTTTCACCCACTCCTTATAGCCAGGCGCACCCTGAATGGGGGAAAATCCCTTTTCTTGGCCAAGGCTGGAGTTCCTGCCTTGGGGCTGCCTTCTGTCTGTACGCATAATAGTGACCACTTACTAAGTACTCCTGTGCCAAGCAATTTACATCATTATCTCATGTAACCTCCACACAATCTTTGAAATCCAGAGTATTATCCCATTTTATAGATGAGAAAACTGTAAAGTTCTAAGAAGACACATATGTACTAGGCAACTAAATCCAAGTTTGACCCTGGGTCTGATGACTCTGAAGCCCCCTGTGACTGCACCGCTATCCACTCTGAAGAGCTGGCCCTTCCTCCGCCTAGATGCTCCAGGGGCCCATCTGTGGCCTCTGCTGAGAATCAGGCCTGGGGGCGGGGGACGGGGGGGTGGCTGGCTCTCTAAGGGCTGTCCCGGGAAAGGGATGGGGCAGTGAAAAACTGTCTCCTGGAACCCACTGCTACCATCACTTCTTTTCCTGTCTCAAAAACTAGTCCCAGGCCTGATGGTAGAGGCCAAGCAGAGGAAAGACTGTCGTTAAGAAATGTAGTTAAAGAAACTGTGTCTTTCAATAAAAAAGAGGCACAACATCTACTTTAACATGTATTTAGTGTTTGCCTAAAGTGAGCTGCTTTAAAATTTGTGCGTATTGTTGGTGGAATGCAAATGGGAGAAGCCACTTTGGAAAGCAGGATGGGCATTAAAAATGGAACTGCCTTATGACCCAGTGATTCCACTTTGGTGATTATATCTAAAGAAACTCAAAACACTAATTCAAACAAATATATGTACCCCTTTGTTCATTGAAACATTATTTTCAATAGCCAAGATTTGGAAGTGGCCCAAGTGCCCATCAATAGATGACTGGATAAAAAAGCAGCATGGATGGACCCCGAGAGTATTATGCTAAGTGAAATAAGCCAGTCAGAGAAAGACGAGCACCGTATGATCTCACTTATATGTGGAATCTAATGAACAAAATAAACAAAGTGGAGACACTCAGACAGAAAACAGACTGACAGTTCTCAGAGAGGAGTGAGTGGAGTTGGAAAAGGTGAAGGGATTAAGAAAACAACAGCAACTCAGACACAGACACCAGTATGGTGATTAGCAGAGGGAAAGGGGGTGAGGGAGGTAGATGACGATAAAGGGGGAATAAATGGTGATGGAAGGAGACTTGACCTGGTGTTGTGAACACACAATGCAATATACAGATGATGTGTTAGAGAATTGTACACCTAAAACCTATATAATTTTATTACCAGTTACCCCAATAAACAAAAAGGAAAAAAAATTAAAAGCAAATAAAACCTGTGCATAGCATAAAAGCCTGAAAGGAGATTTGCCAAAGTATTAACTGAAATTAGCCTGGGCAGAAGTGATTTATTTTCTTTTTATCTACATTTTTCTACATTAGCTAAATATTGCTTGTGTAATTTAGAAAAGTTATTTCAAAATACAGCTAATTGTTTTTTATATTGATATAAACGAGTCTCCATCTCACCAAGTGAGCATGGGACTGTGCAGCCTGTGAGGCAGGGTCAGGCCACTTCCCAGCTGGTCCAGCCCACGCCTGGGACTTAGAGAACATTCACTGAATGATTGAATGAACAAATATTAACCCTGAGCATTTGGGAAACCTTAGTTCCCTGCGACTCTGGAGTAATAAGGTTGGAACTCTTGGCGTTAGCGAATTAGGCCTTTCCTTGTACCAGGCTCAGAGAGCTTCTGAGGGAATGAAGCTTGGAATGAGAAAATCAGTGGGGTGGGTGTGAATGGCTGAAAAGCGATGGTGAATTTACTCTGTGGAGGGTGGGTGCTGGGCCGACCTGGGTTTGATTTCCCTGCTTTGCTGCTTGTGAGCAGTGTGACCTTGGGGAAATTGCTTAACCTCTCTGAGCCTTTTTCTCTCATAAAGTGGTGAAATGGCAGTACTCCTCTTGTTGGGTTGCTGTGAGCATTCAGATGAGTAGCTCGGTTTTTTTTTTTATCCCTGCCGCCCTCTTCATCCCCGCTGTGCTTGCCCCCTGTGCTGTGGGAGAGCAGGACCACATGGGAACCGAGCCCACAGGTTCCAGCCCACACTGCCCAGTAGAGATCGACTGTGAGCTACAGAGGTCATTTTAAATCTTCTATTTGCCACATTTTAAAAAGTAAAAAGAAAAAGTGAAATTCATAAAACATTTTATAATTACTATCATTTCATCACATAACCAATATTTTTTCATAATCAATATTTTTAATATTGGGATATTATAAATTACTTTTTACACTAAATGTTCAAAATCTGAAGTGCATTTTATATTTGCATCCCATCTCAGTTCAGACTAGACATTTCCACATGTGGCTAGTGGCTGCTATACTGGACTTCACAGTTCTACATTCTAGACAATACAGTCCTATAAAACTTTGCATATATGTGCTGTCCAAAGCAATATCCATTAACCATATGTGGCTGGTGAGGACTTGAAATGTGGCTGGTATGACTGAGGCACTGAATTTTTCATTTTACATGTACTTAATTTTAATTAGATTTCATTTTACTTAATTTTAATTTAGAGCCACAGTGGTATTAATAACCATGGGCGGCACAACCTTGGGAACATTATTTAACACCCCTGCCCCTCAGATTTTTCCTCTATGAGCTGGGGATAATGCATAGTCCGTAGTTCTCATGAGGCACCTAGGCCAGGGTCTAGCACATAGAAAGCACTCAGTAAATGTTAGCCTTATTTCTGTTAACCAAGGAAAAGGAAGTGCCTGCCATGCCTTCAGCACGTTTGCTGCCGGAGGGAGCACACAGGGGATGTCCAGATGAGAAGCAGCTTGTTACCACAGAAACGAAACCACAGCTTAGGGACAGTTGGATCTGTAGGTGTTACCTAAAGGGGGCTGACGGCTGTCCACAGCAGAGGGGCCAGCTAGCAGACTCTTTAATTAAAATTCATCTTTTGTATCTATTTTCAAAACTAATTGTTTCTCCAGAAAAAAAATATTTTTGTTTCAGTAAGAAATGTCAGCACATTAATGAGGTGATTCAGTTCTCAGGGTAAAAGGATATTTAAACACACCAAAGAAATTCTAAGAAGTGGTTCAGAGGTAAGGGGAGGCCTCTTGGTGGAAGGCAGGCCTAGGTTGACTCACTTTTAATCGCTAATGAGCCCCGTGACTGGGCAAGCCATTACCTCTCTGAGCCTCAGTTTTCGCATGAGAGTGTTCATAATCAAACTGGAGCTCATAATACCTACCTCCAAGGACGGTTTGGAAGCTTAAATGAGATAATGTGTGTAAGATGTGTCCTGTACCTGGCACACCAAGAACTCAGGGATCGTTCACTATTCTTACGATGATCTGTAAAACGAACAGTCAGAGTAGAATCTGATCGTTAAATAATCGAAGGCCTCTGAAGCGCCAGGAGAAGTAAAATGCTGATGTTCCTCCCCAGAAACGGGATGGCTGTGTTTCCCTGCAGTGATTGGAGCGGAACTCTGAAGCCTGAGCGGGTAAGCAGACTGTGTGTGGGGTAGAAGGAGAGTGGGGTCACCCTGGGGAGTCCCTACCTTTGTGGGGGTCCAGCAGGCTTGACAGCTCTTCTTCTAGCAGCTGCTTCACAGAGAGGTCCTCTTCAAGGTCCAAGGGTCCTTCGTCCTGGTCTGGTTCTGCCTGGCCACCAGCCCTAGCCCCGGGGCCATCTGTGTCTGGGATTACACTCCTGCAAAGGAAACCAACCCAGCCCCCAAGTGAGAAAGTTCAAACCTAGGTTCATTCATTCTATTCGTGCACATTCTTCTATTCATGCCAGCATTCATTCGTCCACATCGGGACCTGGATACACATAGTCCAGCCTTCAGAGTCGGACCGACCTGAGTGACTTGATCCCATCCCTCCTGCCTCCTCTTGCGTCTGTAACATCCGCTTCTTGGGGCATGGTGAGACGTAACGTGAAAGGTTTACGTAAAGAGCTTAACACCGTGCCTGGCACACTGTAAGCATTCAGCAAACAGAAGTGACCATGACTGCCTAGATGTGATTACTTGCTATTGTCTCTCCCATTCCTTCACATTGCCTGGCACAGAGTAGGAGTTTAGTAACTTCAGTGGAATCAATGCGGTCATCTATCATCCATCCATTCATCCATTCCATTCACCCATTCATTCTTCCATCAAAGTATGAGCTCCAGTGAGGGCAGGGATATTTATCTGTGCTCAGAACAGGGCTCAGTGCATAGTAGTTACTTAATACTTTGTGGATTTCGTGATTGAATGTTCCTTCCTCCCTATTTGAGGCCAAATTGTAGACCAGAAGAGCATGTCCAGCTAAAGCAAGGCATCCAAAAGCTATTCAGAATCTACTATCCCATTTCACCCTCCTACTGCCTCCTCCCTCACTTCTCCCTCCATAGACCCTTCTTATCACCTGGAGGAGGCCAGTTCCTCAGACTTCCTGGCATGGGGGGAACAGGGCAGGCCCCTCATCATCCAGCAGGTGGAAGGCTCCCTGAGGGGCTTTAAGGTCAGGAGAGAGAGGGGTCTTTTCTTTCTTTTCATTTTTCCAGTGGCTATTTCTACTGCATGGAGAGATCAGCAGGGAGGTGGCAAGTGACAATGACAGCAATTCATGTTACTGAGAAATTACTCTGAGTCATGCCTTACCAGTGGTTCTCAACCTTCTGGCCCTTTAAATACAGTTCCTCATGTTGCGACCCAACCATAAAATTATTTTTGTTGCTACTTCATAACTGTAATGTTGCTACTGTTATGAATCGTAATGTATATATCTGATATGCAGGATGGTCTTAGGCGACCCCTGTGAAAGGCTCGTTCGACCCCCAAAGGGGTCGCGACCCACAGGTTGAGAACCGCTGCCTTAAGCTTTGCAGGGTATATGCACCTTTTCATTAAACCTTCCACATCTGTAAGGGGTTCTCTTGTTATCATTCTCAGTTTACAAATGAGAAAACCAAGACTTGTGAAGATTATGCAGCTTGCACAAGCTCCCCATGGATTAAGTGATAAAGTGAGAATTCAAATTTAGACTGCTATGACTCTGGAGTGCTCACCTCTGCCCTGCACTACCTTTCACTACCTTTCACTCCCTTTGACAAAAAAAAGAAGCAGCTACAAGTTGTCACAGCAAGAACACTGAACCAGGAGTCAGTGCTATATGACCTTGAGAACTGGTCCCAGCTTTGCACTCACTGGCTATATGACCTTGAACAAAGTCACTTTAAGAGGAAAGGACTTACCATTGCTTGTGGACCTACTATGTGCCCAGCACTGGGCTATGGGCTTAGGATACATTTGATCATTAAATCCTTACCCCATCACTACAAGGAATTGTGGTGACCTTCAGTTTGAAGATGAGAAACTAGACCTTGGAGATTTATTTGACTTGCTCAAGTTTACATAACGGGGTTGAACCCAACTAGCTAGAGCCTCAGTGTCTCCATCTGTAACAAGGAGTTAGATTAGATGTCCTCTTGACATCTCTTTAATTCTAGGACAGCCTAAAGGAACACACCCACATATCCATGTCCTTAGCCAGGGGCCTTCATATTATGTTTAAGGGTCAAGCGAAAGAAAGCTGAAAGTTACAGATTGAAAGTCCTTAGCCCAGCACCTCTGCAATCAGAGGACAGATAACCAGAGCCTCAGGATGAAGTCATATCCCTAGTGACCCTGTCCTGTAAATACTATAAATACAGTGGCTCCAGGACCAAGTGGCCTGGGGTGGGGGGATGGATACTGTCCGAGGCACTGTCCCAGGGGAGTAGGTCTGGGATGCGATCACCCTTCCTTAAGATCACAGACTGCAAGGGTGAGGGGGGCTGGAGAAGCCTGTGGGGGCTACGTGTGCTTACCTGCCTCCGCAGGACTTGGCCGAGTATTTATTTCCCCGGTGGTTTGGTTTGGGCTGGAATTGGCCCTGATGCAGCAAGGACAGCAGCTGGGAGATTTGCTACAAGACAGGAAAAATCTGTTGACTCCACACAATTCCGACCCAGCACACTTCCTCGCCGGATGTTTCCCTCAATGCCGGCGCTTTCTTTTTATAGTCTTTCCTCCAGTTTCAGATGATTGTGTGATCAGACGGGGGATGGTGGGTGGTGAACAGTAAGAGAGGCAGGGACCTGTACGGGCAGGTTCCCTACTTTGCCTTTGTCACGCCAGGACCTGGGTGCCTGAGGGAGAGAGTAGGGACCATCTGGGCTGGTCCCCTCTCTACTCCCCAAGTGACCTGCCCCTGTTGGAATCAGCAGGACTAGGGGTGAAAAGGGCATTTCCTGACCATAAATTCATTATTACTTTGATCAGGATTATCTTAAACAGTTATTTCCTGCCTTCAGCAGTATTCAAGCACTCAGCCAATTTTTGTAGGCCAGATATAAGACTATGTTGTAGAGAAGGCAAAAATGGTGTCATTTAATCATTCATTGATTCATGCTTTCATTCATTCAACAGGCATTTAGTAAGTTTATCTGTGCCAATGTCTGCCCTGAAGCAAGCTCATAGTCCATCAGAGGAGACAGGGCACAGCAGTTACTACAGGGGGTTGCACTGGGTTAAGAAAGGATGGGGGTCGGTGGGAGCAGAGGAGGGCCCCTCACCCATCTTGGAGCAAATAGGAAGCTGTGGGGTGAAATGGGAGGAGTTTGAATACTTACTTCTACAAATGTTTATTGAGTTCATACTACATGCTAGGCACCTCTGCTGAGACCCGAAGGCTCCATAGGAGTTTGGCAGGTGGAGAGAGGGTGAGGGTCTGGGCCAAGGGTGAAGGGCATTCCAGACAGAAGGCACTGCACACTGAAAGATGGTTGGAGAGTGGGGCAGAAGTTGGGAAGGATGCCAGGGCCAGACCCTGCAGGGCCTCACAACGGAGAAGGCAATAGACCAAGTCTTGGTAGGCTGAGTCCCCGTTCGAGGTCATTTCTAGCTTGTGTAACGTCAAGTAGGTTTTCAGACCTACTCAGACCTTCCATCTCTAAGGAGGAGCTAGAAATACCCACCAGACTTTTCATGGGTTTTCGGGATTAATTAGATGGCTTGAAAGTTTAGAATGCTCCATGAATGCAAGGAGTTTGGGTTGTTCCTCCTAGAAACACGGCCTCTGCCTCCTGAGCCCACCCCCATTCCTCCCTGAGCAGTTCAAGACAGAAAGTGCCAATTTCAGAGGAGAGGTGGAAGGGAAGGTGGCCAGGACTGGGGTTTCCATGAGGGTCAGCGTCCCATTGCCTGCCTCCGGGCAGATCCCACCTCCTACGGCATGTGCCACCCTTTTCCCGAATGACAGCCTGTACTTCAGGGACTCTCCCCAAGTGCCATACCCTGAGCTGAGCACTGTCATTGAAGGTCACTTCCCAGTCAGAGCCTAGACTCTGGGTTCGTTGGTCCCGGGTTCCCACCTATGAACATTCTGAGCCTCAGTTTCCTCAGCAGTAAAAAAGGGAATGATAATGAGATCCAGGTCATACAGTGGTTGTGGTTCTAGGATTAAATGTGTAAAAGTATATAAATCACTTCTCAGTCAATCTTATGATAAGCACGTAATAACTGTCAAGTTATATATAATCTCATTTAATTCTACAATAACTCAAGGGAAGAGATACCATGACACCCGTTTTGCAGGTGTGAAACCTGAGGCCCACCAGGGGCTACACAGCAGTTAGTGGTAGTCTGGAGTTTGAACTTGGATCTGACGCCACTGTGCCACTGTGCTGCTGGAAAGACAGCGTTAGGCAAGCTGCCTCTTGCCCTCAAGTTGATCCCAGATGGGCAACCTTCTTTCCATCACCCCAGTGGGGCCACCCACAGTGCCTGCTCTCTGCTGTTTCTATTTACTATCAACCAGTTGTTGGCACAAAGAGCTTATTCAGTAAGGATTTGATGAATGAATGAATGAATGAATGAATGAATGAATGAATCGATGAGTGAATGGCTCTGGGCAACCTCTGGGGCTACAAAGAGCTCAGGGCAGGACTCCTAAGAAAGCAGCTGGGCCCTCTCCAGGTGGCTTCCTGAAGGGGGTGGGGGGAAATGGGGGGAAGGAAGCTGTGTCCTTGCTCCACAGGAAGCCTCAGATGATGGCCTGGCCAAACAGAAGTGTGCTTTGGATAAGTAGCCTGGCACAGGGAAAATTATCTGGGGTGCAGAGAAGCAGAGAGGAGTGTGGTATCAGGCACCATCTCTGAAAACGTCTCCCATTTGTGTCTAATAAGTCCCAGGTCTCTAGACACTTGGCCATTTATCATCCCACTTAATCCTCAGACCCCTGGGAGGTAGACACAGGGTAAGTTTGGTATACAGTCCCCACCTTATAGATGAGGAAAATGAGGCCTTGCCCAGAGCTGCCCAGTTCCTACGTGGCTATGCTGAAATTTGAGCCCAGATCTGCCTGACTCCCAAGTTCCAAGGTTACATTCACTGTCCCATCCTGCAGACCCTGCCGGCAAGCTCTGCATATCAAACAAGTGATATGCAGCCCCTGAGCCTGGCAGCAATGATGCCCATGCCAGCCTGCTTCACAGGGAGGTTGCCCAGGTGGAGATGGAAAGAGCTTTGCAGAAGTCATTGTAATCATTTGCTGAGTGCTAGCTTCGTGCCAGACACCAGAGTGCCCTCATTTTATCTTCAAGCAAACTTAGGAGATGGGTGCTATTAGCATGGACATCTTCAACAGAGAAGCTGAGTAACTTCCTTGTGGTTCACAGATAGAAAGAGGGGGAGCCAGGACTTGAACCCAGGCAGCCTTGCTCCAAAGTTTTTATTCTTGATCCCTACCTTTGCTGTGTGTCTACTTATGCCAGGCCTCCTGAGCAAGTGCTGTATAGGAATTAACTGATGAAATCCTCAGGACAACTCTGTGAGGTAGATGCTCTTATAGTCATTCCTATTTTACAAATGGGAAAAATAAGGCTCAGAGACAGGAAGTAATTTGTCTGGAATCACACAGCTAAATTCTTTTGACCCCAGAGCTATGCCCTGAACCACTGCACTCAATACATCATATAGTGCCCAGTGAGCCTAAGGAATGAATATGAGGATTGTGAGGGTAATGGTGGTGTCTGATGCTGTTAGTAGTGATCCCGGGGTGACCAGAGAGAGAGAGAGCTGTACCTGAACAGGAGATGAATCCACAGTGAGCTCCTCTATGGGGTTCCGCTCCGCGAAGGCAGCCACGGACAGCCGGACCAGGCTCCGCAGGATCTGACGGGGGCCTGATTCTTTTTCAGCGGCCACTTTGCCATTGAGATTCCGCTGCCGCCTCAGGGTTGCAGAGGAGGCTGGTGAGCTAAACGGGGCTTCCTCACTGCCCTGGTCTCCAGGGGGCTTCCCTGTGGGGCTGCCTGCCACCTTCAGGGGCCTCGAGCGGGCCTGGCCCAGTGCAGGCTGGGGCTCAGGAAGGTTCAGGTTCTCCCGGGAAGCGTTCCTCTGCCTGGGATGGTTGAAAAGGAGGTTGACTGTGTCCTGCAGCACCTCTCGGCTCTCAGCCAGGGCCCCCTGGTTGCCTTGGTTACGAAGGGTCCTGTACAGGGTGGGTGTGAGGTGAAAGGGAGCCTGCAGGCAGGGGTCCCAGCCTGCTTCCATCATCGCTTCCTTGCTCACATCCTTGAGGGGCTGCCCCACTTCACCAGGCTCGTCCACCTGGCCTCTGAGCACGGGCACGAGGTGGATGTCTGCCTTCTGAATGTGTTTCTGAGGTCTCTTGGGCTGGTTGCGGTAGGTGGACTCAGCCTCCCTACAGTTATAGGCCCTGTTGTCCCTCTTCTCCGTCCGGCATATGGACATGATCAGAGCCAAGATCAACCCAAAGATGGCCAGCAGGACGACCAGGCAAATCACCGTCAGCACTGATGGGCTGAGGGCCCCAGGATCACGGGCGGAGTCCTTCAGGTGGTCGACACTGGTGACGAACAAGATCCTCAACAGGGCTTGGGTCTGCAAGGAGGGGCTGCCACAGTCTTCTACCACTATCTCCAGCTCCCACTCCCTCCCAATGAGGCTGCTGGCATTGGTGATGTTGATGAACAGCTGCCCCAGGTGGGGGCTGAGGACAAAGAGGCGGGCTTCATTCCCACTCCGAATGCGGTAGAACACCTCTCCATTTGCCCCTGAGTCTGCGTCTCTCGCTACAATGGTCACCAAAAGGAATGGCTGGGAGCTGTGGGTGGCCCGTGGTGCCATGTCAGTGCCCGCCAGACCCGGGGCATTGGGAGTATCAATGGGCACCAGAAGGTGGCCTGTGGAGGCATTTACAAGCACTGAGAGGCTGGCTTTTCCATCGCTGAGTAGGGGATGAATCACCTCTGGGGCATTATCGTTGGCATCCAGGAGGGTGACCCACACAGAGATGCTGGATGAGAGCTGGGGCTGTCCCCTGTCCTCTGCGACCACATGGAACTCAAAGCCGGCCATCTGTTCGTAGTCCAGTGACCTCTGAGCAGTGACCTCTCCTGTGTCTGCGGCAATGGCTACCAAGTGAGAAACTGGGGAGCCCTGGATGCGGTATGAGATTTGTCCATTAACGCCCAAGTCCGCATCATGAGCTTTGATGGTGATGAGGTGAAGAGAGGGTAGGTTGTTTTCCCTAGTGGAGACCTCATACCGGCTCTTCTCAAACACAGGTGCATTGTCGTTGACATCACTGATGTGAATGCTGAGCTGTTTCTCGGCCGATAAGGGCTGGGGTCCTTGGTCTTGGGCCAACAGGGTGAGGCTATATCTGGGCCACTGCTCTCTGTCCAGCGTGGCGTTGGTTAGCAGCATGTACGTGTTGCCATTGGTCCTTTTCAGCCGGAAGTGGCCCAGCTCTTGGCTCAGCCAACAGTGGACCAGACCATTGTTTCCTGAGTCCAAGTCGTTCGCCATGATGAGAGCAATGAAACTGTCCTTGGGAAGAGCTTCTGACACTAGCAGCGGCTGGGAGGCCCATGTGATGTGAATGCTTGGGGCATTGTCGTTGACATCCAGAACCTTGATGAGGACTTTGCAATGGGCTGGGATGGGATTGGGACCCAGGTCCCTGGCTTGGACATCCACCTCATAGGCAGGATTCTTCTCATAGTCGAGGGGTTGACGCAGAATCACCTGGCCGGTTTTGGCATCGATGCTGAAGGTGTCCAGCACCTCTGGAGGCACGTGCTTGCTGAAGAAGAACTCCACCTCCCCGTTGGGGCCTTGGTCGGGGTCTGTGGCAGTCAAGTTTATGAGGAGAGTACCAGGGGCAGCATCTTCTTGGATCTCTAGCGCCAGGGAGCTCTCAGCAAACACAGGGCTGTTGTCGTTGGAGTCCAGGACGTTGACTTTGATCAGGCTGGTGCCTGACTTGGGGGGGTTCCCACTGTCATAGGCAGTTAACACCAGATCAAAAAACGAGTGGATTTCCCGGTCCAGCTCCTTCACCACCACCAGCTCCGCGTGTTTGGTCTCATCAGGCCCCACGATGACATCCAGGGCAAAGTGCTCACTGGGTGATAGGGAATAGGAGTGCAGGGTGTTGGGGCCAGTGTCCGGGTCCAAAGCTCTGTCCAGGGGGATCCGGGTGCTGAGAGAAGCACTCTCAGAGATTTCCAGCTCCTGCCTGCCTTTGGGAAACTGTGGCTGGTGATCATTGATATCCAGCACCTGGATCTCCACGTGGATCAGAGCCAAATGCCCTGAGGCAAGCACGTCAAAGGCAACCAGGCAGGGATCCCGCTGCCGGCAAAGCTGCTCTCGGTCCAGCCGCCTCACTGTGCGGAGCAAGCCGTCTTCAGAGTCCACCTGGATGGGGAGCTCCTGAGGTAGCTGCAGGACCTGGAAAGCAGCGCCCACTTGCCCCTGCCTCTCCTCCCAGCCCAGTGCCTGGGACAGCTTCCCTATCACCGTGCCAGATGGCACTTCCTCTGACACTTGGTATTTCACGGTGAGAGTGGCCACCTCCTGACAATCCCCTGAAAGGAACAAGTAGCCACCTGGCCCCAAAAGCCCCAGCAAAAGTCGCAGAAGTTGCATCATGCTTACCGCCAGAATGGGTTCGATTCAGAAACTGCTAGAGTTCTTCAAAGGCTGGGAAGTCCTCCAGTGTTTCTGGGGGGGGCTTGACTAGCCCTGTTCTCCTGCCCCCAGACCTGCTGGCACAGCCTTGTCCCATAATTAGATGATGATAGAACGAGCAGGATTCCCAGGCCAGGCCATTTTCATCTGAAGAGATCCTAGAGGTCTCTGCACCGATGAAGTAAGCTCGCCAGCGGTACCCGTTGGTCCAGTAGAGCCAACGATGGGCAAGAGCCAGGCCAAGAGGGACTTGACCCAGTCGAGCAGGATGTAGGGATCTAACTTCCAAACAGTTGCTATGCGGGGGAAACAGAGAAGCAGCTTTTTCCTATGGAAACCCCACCTACAGGAAAAGGGAGGGCTGTGTGTTTCAATGCCAATTAGAGAAAGAGAGCACGCTTCCTGTGAAGGCCAGGGGCTTGCTGCTGAGGAGGATGCGGCAGGGACTCCGGGGACCAGGCGGATGGGAAGGTGTTGTCCCTGCAGCGAGGTGACCGCTGAGGGAAACGGAGCCCCTGCCTGTCGCCCAGGGCCTGAGGCCCCTCCTGGGCAACACCATGATCCCTGTCTCTTCCCTTCCTTGTCTCTTTGTGTCCGGCGTCTCCCCATTATCCCTTTCCCATTCTGATCTATTCCCTACGCTCATCTATCTTTAATGTTGACTCTGTCCTGATCACCCGTTTTTGTCGCATGAGAAACACCTGTGATTATGAGAGTGGCCATTAGAGTCAAACTGCCTGGGTTCAAATTCTGACTCTGCAGCTTACCAGCTGGGTCATGTGGAACAAGTCACCGGGCCTGTCTGGGTTTCCACTCCCTTTTAAGAGTGTGAAAGGGAATAAGAATAGTAGCCCTGCAGCAGGAAACTGTGAGGATGAAATGAAATAATGCACGCAGGGCCTACGCTTGGCCTGAAGCACAGGTAATGACGTTATTGTTAGTGGAGGGGGTTAGGATCTGCACAGCTCCGCCCACCTGTGGCTGACTCTGGCACTGGCCTGGGGGCAGTCCCTGCCCACAGGGACCCATGGGAGTGCTCCCGGCCTTGGCTCCTGAAGTACCAGGATCTCCCGGGCCTGACCATGTGGCCTCCTACCCCCTTCCCTTCCTGCTTCCCAGCCTACAAGCCCATTGTTCTCTGCATCTGGTCCAGTCTGAGCCCCTGTCTGGGGAATCCCCCAGCCTCCAGCTCCTGTGTCTTGGAGGTTTTAGACTTTTCCCTCTCCCTTACCCTCCCCCATCTTTCCCTCCCTCCAATTCTCTCCCCACTGCTGTTTATGGCAGAGTCCCCTGAATGATAACTCCCTTGCTGCCCCTTCAGGACTAAGGTATGCCCTCCCTCCCATTCCCCTCCTCGCAGAGGCCAAGACTCAGGAAGGAAGTGAGTGGGCAGTTTGTTTGGGTGGCCTTTGAGGCGGCTTGCTGCTTCTCAGTTTGCTGTTTCCAGCCCTCTCCCATGCTTACACCCTACCTTGAGGTTGAGTCCAGACTGCAGGGATCCTCAAACTTTTTAAACAGGGGGCCAGTTCACTGTCCCTCAGACCATTGGAGGGCCGGACTATAGTTAAAAAAAAACACTATGAACAAATTCCTATGCACACTGCACATACCTTATTTTGAAGTAAAAAAACAAAACGGGAACAAATACAATATTTGTATTTGCACGTGGCCCGCGGGCCATAGTTTGAGGACCCCTAGTCCAGAGGCTTATAAAGCATTTGAAGTAGTGGGGCTTAAGGGCCAGCTTTCCCTAGATGCGTGTTTGCAGCTGAGTCCTTGAGACCAGAGATGCAACACAAGTGACTCCAATCAGGGCCTTTGGCCTGGAGGCCTGTGGTCATTAGGACAGGGGTGGATAAGGGACCGCCCTAGGTTAAGCCCCACCTCCACTCCCTTCCTTCCCTTCTGTGTTTCTTTCCCACACCCTCTCCTTCACCCCATATCTACTTCTGGAGATTTCCCAACCATCTTACCGAAGCCTGTCAGCCAGAGCAAGGGGCCTCTCCTACGGCATGGCTCTGGAGACAGACAGAACGCTCCCTCGCTTGGAGACATTCACAAGTCACTTAACCTCTCTGGGCCTCAGATTCCTTCTCTGTAGAGTGTGGCTGTGACCCATCTCATGAGTTTGTGGTAAGGATTTAATGAGATGATGCACATACGGCCTTGGCACCGTGCCTGGTACAGAGAAAGCTCTCAATACAGGAGGCTGGTGTGTGTGTGTGTGTGTGTGTGTGTGTGTGTGTGTGTTTACCAGGCTTTATGCCTCATATGCAAATGGGAAGATGGTCTTGCATTTCTCCCTTCACTTAGAAAGTCATTTCCCAGGGCTCCCTGAGTTTCAATGGCCGACATCGTCTCATGCCACCCTCACAGCCACGCCATTGGGTGAAGAACCTGAGTAGAGAGCGTTAGGTAAGTTGCCTGAGATCACACACATTTGCCCTGCAGAAAGCCCCTCCAGCTGCACTCTGGAAAATGGATTGGAAGGGAATAGAGAAGAGGGAGGGAGAAAGGTTGTGGGGAGTAAAAAGCAGGGAAGCCGTGGTGCAGAAACTCTGGGGCTGAGAATGTTTCCAGAATGCCATCTGGTGGCCGAAGGCAGAGGAAAAGGCACAGAGGCAGAAGGGTGGGTGCCCGGTGCTCACAGATACCCACAGCTCCGGACCTGTGCTGCATAGGGAGACACAAGACGACAACCATTAGTCTCAGTGGGAAACCTAATGTGACCCAGTGCCTACAGGAGGAATGAACGCACAGTTTTATAGATGTTAACATTTATGTTCTTGACGTTGTTATATATGTGCTCTGTGTATGTGTATGTGTGCGTGTCGCCTTGACTGAGACCATGGATGCCAAAAATGGACTCACTGGTCACAAGAAAGCTTGAATTTGGATTTCACAGGTAGTTTTATTGTTTTTGTTTGTTTTATTAACATTGGGGGCATGAAGCTAAGACAACCCTTTAAGAATCCAAAGCCAGCAAACAAGGCCCCAGCCTTTTTAAAGGCAATTTCCTCTGGGAATGAGGTCTCCTTTAGTAATTTCCTCTCCTCCTTTCTGGCTACAAGGGTCCGTTGATCATTGGCAGCCACATGGCAGGGGGTGAACGGAGCTGTCACTGGAGTTGGTCAGGGCTAGTTGGCCTGGAGGCCTGTGGTCATTACCCTGAGTTTTGAAAATAGGTTTAAAATAACTGAGCACAGCCTCCCTCAAGTTGAATTTTGTTTAAAGGGGGTAGAATTGGGGTTGGTACTTGGAGGCCTTGCTCACCACCAGACTTGAGGTTGTTCACAGAAGTCCTTCGTCATGGAGAGGGGTAGGAGGGTGAAGTGGGAAGGGCAGGGGTCAGAGGATCTTTTCAAAACACCTGGAGTCCTAAGAAACCTTGAGGAGCCAGATCAGTAGAGTGGGACTCTGCCCATTGGGGGATTCACAGGTCAGCTAGAAGGCTCAGCTCATGTCCCACACCATCCTGGGCTCCTTGTGAATCTGCCCAGCGGCTGCCATAATCACAACCACTGAGACAGCTTTGATGACGCTGGGAGCTTCATCCTCAGGCTCATTCCAGTTGGGAAGGTGACTGGACCTCATAAGTCTGCCTCTTTTTCTTTTAACAAGATCTTGTTGAAGTTAGAGCAGTCTAGCCAGGAATCTTGACATGAGATTCAGGTAGATGTTCAAGTTCACCCGCTGGTGGCACAGCACTTTGTGGTCTTTGTAGGCACAGATGACAGATGTCCACTCTCACACAGTGGCACCTCTTTCTGGGTCCAGTGCAGAAAGAAGGATGCAATTTGCAGAGAGAAATTTTCTAAGAAATAGGACTTTTCAAGAAATAAAAAGGCTTTCTGTCCAGGTTAAGATACAAAGGAAGCCAGATATTAGAATCATTTGGAAAGTTTTTGAAAATACCAGGGACACGGCAAGAAAATGCATAGTTTTCCCTTTCCCAGCCTGCCAAAGAGAATTTTATAATTGTCAGCTCCGTTTTCCCCTCTTCGAAAAGGCTTCATCTTGCAGATGATTTGGGACAGGGTTGGGGAAGTTGGACCTTTTTGTTGGAAATAGAGGTCTAATTGGTCTACTTAACGAAAGGAAAAGTAGATGGAGAAGGGGCATGCTGAAGGAAATCATGGAGGAGGGTGCACTAGAGAACAGCAAGGATTGAAGATGAGGACTTTCAAATGAATTGTTATAAATTAGGGGTCTCCCTTATGGTTTGCAATAAAAGATATATAATTTATTTTGTGCTTTAGTAACCGCAACACAGCCCCCAAATTGGACCACATACATTCTGAGTTGATAAGTGTTACTCATATATTCTGTCTCTCTTCCCAACCTGCAGAGGGGAAGTGGGCTATTTCCAGCATGTAGATTTTCAGTCTGATATGCAGTAGGTCATTCCAACACACACCCATCTCCACCCCAACCTCATAGAGAACCACTGATTTAGGACTTCTTAGAAGCACCAGCAACTTTGTATAGACCAAATGCGACAGCATTTAGGCCTTTCTTACTGAGCATCCCCCTGGGCCCCATCACGCCCCCGGGCCTGTGTCGCTGCTCCCCAGAAGCTCTGTGCACCCCTAGTTCTCCCTCCAGAGTCTGTCTGTTTCTCTGATTCCTCCTTTGGGTTTCCTTGCTCTGACTCCCAGGTGTGGGCATGGTCCCCAGATTCCGTCCTCAGCCCTCTCTTCTGCATAGGGTTATTAGCCCAGAAACGGGTTGCTAGATTTAACAAATAAAAATACATGGTGCCTAGTTAAAACTGGATCAGATAGTCTGGCCAGTGTGGCTCAGTGGTTGAGCATTGATCCATGAACTAGGAGGTCATGGTTCCATTCCCAGTCAGGGCATATGCCCAGGTTGCAGGATCAATGCCCAGTAGAGGGCATGCAGGAGGCAGCCAATCAGTCATTCTCTCATCATTGATGGTTTATTTGGTTTTTTGCATTCTTTGATTTTATTTTTTAATTTAAAAAAAGTTTTTAATTTTCAATTACAGTTGACATTGAAGTTTCTATCTCTCCCCCCTCTCCCTTCCTCTCTCTGAAGTTAATAGTAAACAAATAAATAAATTTAAATCAGATAAACAAATGAATTTTTTTTTAATATAAGTATTTTTTATCTGGCAGCCCTATCTAGAAATAATAAGCTCTCAACACAGGTTTCTTTTCTGTTTTTCTGTGTGGGGCTTGCTTTTTGTTTTGTTTCAGAATTTTGGTTTGCTCAGTGAATTTGAACTTTTTTGAGTAAACACAAAGATCAAACATATTGACTGGGAGCATCATCTGTGCATGAATATTCAGAGGCTGACTGTGTTGATTGGCCTTGTTATGTTTTCAGCATTTCTGGTGATCCAGGATCGAACTGTTTTCAGACTGTAAGAACCACCCTGGAGGAAGCCTGGATCACACCACACTCACTCATTAATTTATTCAGTCATCCAGGCTCTCATTTATTTGGTGGAATTCAGCATTTATAAGGATATATATATATATATATATTCAACAAGGGAAGTAGCTGAAGTTGACCCACATTTTTCCTCCTCCAAACCACTGGTTTGTTTTTCTTTCTTCACAGAGAATCTAATCAACCTAATTCTCTCCTTGCTTCAGCAAGGTAAGTCTTGCAGGAAGGAAAATGAGTCTTCCCGTCGTTACATTAATTCTCATGGGGCTTCCCTTTATTAGTTTTTGACAGCCAGGAGTTGAGCCTGGAGCTCGGAGAGAAGCAACCGCACACTGATTTATGATGGCAGCTGCTGCTAAATCTCACCCCTCTTTCCTTCTTACAGAGCCGTGTTACCTTGGGGTTACAAAACTCTTTTCACAGTTATTCAGGGGAATAATAATAAAATGCCAGGTTGCAAGTATAAACATGATCATTCTGTGCCTATTACTGTAAATCAAATTTTACTTGCTTCAGTAGCACAGAAAACATTTTATACTGTCAGCCACCTCAAGCCTTTTTAGGCATCTGTTTTTATATAACCCTGGGATGACCTGAGGTACTGTTTGAGCTGCATTGCCCAGGAAGCTGGTCAGGAGGTGATCTGGCTATTTCTCTTTATAAACCTCACTGACCACTTTCCTTGAGCAAAGTATGGACTAGATGTAAGCATAGCCTCGGGGTTAATGATGTGGGCTCTCGACTCCAGTTGCCCAATTCAAAGCTTGGCTCTGTAATTCACCATCGGTGTGCCAGCGGCAAGTCACGTCATTTCTCTGTGATCAGTTTCCTTCGCTTTAAAATAGGGATGTTGATGATGGTACCTATGTTATAGGGCTGCTGTAAGGTTTAGCTTAGACAATGTGCAGCATTTAGAGCAGAACCTGGGACATGAGTAGCACTCTGATAGTCATTTATAATTGTTCTTTTAGTGTAGTAGCTTTTTTTTTTTTTAAGAAAAACCAATTTTTCAGATTCTCATGTGATAATAGTAAAACTTTTAAGAGCTAGAGGGTGAGCAAATACACA